GTGATTACCCCTTTCCACTAGGTGAGCTGGAACCTGGGAAACTGATAGAATCCATGGAAGAATTTGATGCAGAAACAAAGGTACACACCTTTTACTTCATGATCTCCTTTCTGAATTTTTCTGCTCTCACTGTGTTTGGTTTCCAAGCACTTTGATATGTGATAACAAAGAACAGAGAAACCACGACACTTAACATTCCTAGAACTGTTACTTGATCTCCAGAAATAGCTGACCTATCAAAGGGCAAAGGAAAGTTAAAAAGCTGAAAGTCAACCTAGTATAACTAAATTCCTAAGGCCAAGAAAGAAAACTGTAAAGAAGCACATTATAATAATATATTTATGTTTGCATGTTACATAAATAAGAAAAATGTCTAAATTTTTCCTTTACTATTTGTTACAAATCTACCCATCTCAAAAGTGGTAACGACTCCAGCTATTTGGATATTGAGACTAAAGTCTTGATTAACAGGACTCAAGGATCCAGAACCCTTAAGTAACTGGATTTTTTTTTCTTTCCGCATTTGACTTTTATGGTGGGTAAATGTGCCTTAATGCTGCCACTGCCTATTCTGCCCCCACAGACTTCTGAACGAAAATGACCTTAAAATGAGATAACTTTGCCATCCCCTTCCCATCCCACATCCATGCCAACAAAACAAGTTCTTCCCAAGACTTCACTGTCAATCACTACTAGGGGAAAGGGATAGCCAAACATGAAAACAAAGGGATACAGAAATTCTTGACAAATCTTACAGAAGTCCTAGTCAAAATCCCTTTTATAAGCCTTGTCTTTCTTCTGAACTAGAATCTAAAATTTCTCTTCGACTCTAATTCTCTGCTTTAATTGATAAGGATATAGCTCATTGTATCTTCTCAGTAGATCTGAAGCACATTAACAGATGCCAAGAAGATTTCATTTCAGTATGACCTAGTTGCAAGTTATTAACTGGGAAACCTCAGAGTGCTTTAAACAGGAAGTGTCTCCTTTGGCACTTATTCGCCTTAAGGCACTAAAGTCTTTTTTGAATTGTTAAATATTTATGTATTAAAGTAGGAAGCAATACTAAATTTATTTTTCTTTTTCTTCTCACAAAGGTTGAAAATGAAAAATTTTCCATAAAGCTAACCAAAATTAAACTGAAACCAGATTACCCCAAGTATCCTGATTAAGGCTTTAATGGAATAATAATAATTACTATTACGTGTCTTTTATTATTAAATTTTATACGCTTATCACTTTCAATTTTTCAAAAAATCTGGAATAAAAATTTTATACTGTCACAAACTCATGACATTCTGTACAAGGATACTCAATGAACGTTGTAAAGACTAAAAACAATCAACAATGGAATACTTTAATAATAATATATCCATACTATGGAATCTATACAGCCATAAAAAATGTTAATAATTAATTTCCAAGATATAAAGTTAAGCAAGGTGCAAAAAATGCACATAGTACACTTCCATTTGTGTACAGTATACTATATACATGTGAAAAAAATTATAAACCTACATATGAGTATTTGCTTATATATGTATAAAACATCTCTGGAAAAAGACAAGAAACTGATAACTCTAGGAAGAAAAAGTAGTGACTGTGTAGCAGTAGTGAAAGGAAATGTACATGTTATACATTTTGAATTTTGAGCCACATGAAGGTGAAATTTCACTAATAAAAGGTAAATGAAATAAATAAATCCATTTGATGAGCACAACAACACTGGGAGGTAGTCAGGCAAATGCATCTCACCATGTAGACGCAGAGAAGGAAAGCAGGACTCGGGGGTTGAGTGATTTGACAAAAAGGAAATAACTGTTGGATTATAGCACATGGACCCAACCCCAAATCTTTTGACTCCAGGATCAGGTCTCCATCCAACACACAGAAATGTATCTCCTTTGAACGATACTCTGTATCAGTCTTTTATTTTATTTTTTACTCATTTATTTATTTTAGTGAAGTATAGTCACTATTTACAACAGCCAAAACATGTAAATAACCTAAATGTCCACTGACAGATAACTGGATAAAGAAGTTGTGGTATATTTACACAATGCAATACTACTCAGCCACAAAAAGATAATAAAATAATTTCATTTGCAGCAACATGGATGGACCTGGAGATTGTCGTTCTAAGTGAAGTAAGCCAGAAAAAGAAAGAAAAATATCATATGATATCACTTATATGTGGAATCTAGAAAAAGGACCAATGAACTTAAACAGAAACAGACATACCAATTTATTTTAAACAGTAAAGCACTTTCTCAGAGCAGCAGTAATCACTTCTGGATCTTCCTCTGGAGGAGGATGGCCCAAGTGTGACTCAGGGAAGGTGCCTGAATATGAGGTCCCTGCCTCAGATGACCCACTCTGCAAGGCTGTGTGAGAACCCTGAAGCGGTCATGATATAAAGATAGACATTAATGGTATGGATGTCACACAACCCCATACATGCTTCCTTCCACCCTTGGCTATATGCCTGCCCTTTGCAAGCTGGACACGTATCAATTAGGGCATCACAAAGTTACCCCTCAGATCACAGGAGTTCTTTCTGAGGAGCTGATCTGGTCTATAGCTAGGGAGAAGGTGAAAAAAATCTGGCAGCCTTTTTCTCATGAGAAATTTATAAATGTACATACTCATACAATATTCTGAGATTCTTCATCTGTACCGCTTTTCTTCCTCCCAAAGAGCTTACCTTTGATTCAGTGCCATGTGAAAGGACAGTGCATACAATGAGAAGGTTGTGTATGGCTAGATAGCTTCTGGGCACTATTTCCAGCTCTGTCGTTCGATGGTCCTAAACTGTACCTTTTCTCTGTATTTGACTCCAAATAGTCCTTAAAAGCCACTGGAGGGTTTTGTAGAGGTTTCCAAAGCTCATTTTCCTAAGAGGTTCTCCCCCATGTAATTCTCCTCCCCTCCTACAACCAAGTTTCAAACTTTGATTTCAAATAGAGGGACAAAGGGGGAACTGGATGAGGGCAGTCAAATGTACAAACGTACAGTTACAAGATAAAAAATACTAGGGTTGAAAGGTACAACATGATAAATACAATTAACACTGCTGTATGTTATATGTGAAAGCTAAGAGGGTAAATCCTAAGAGTTTTCATCACAAGGAAAAAAATTTTTTTTCTATTTCTTTCATGTTGTATCTATATGAGATGATGGATGTTCACTAAACTTGCTGTGGACATCATTTCATGATATACGTAAGTCAAATCATTATGCTGAACACCTTAAACTTATATAGGATTGTATGATAATTATATCTGAATAAAACTCCTTTTGGGAGCTGAATATTCTATTTATGTATACATCATATTTAAAAAATCTATTCATCTGTTGACATATGCTTAGGGTGTTTCCATCTTTCATGGCTGCTGTGAATAGTGCTGTTATGAACATCATATACAAATAAATATGAGTCCCTATTTTTAATTCTTTTGGATATATAACTAGGAGTAGAATTGTTGGGTCATAGTGTAATTTTGTTTCTAATATACTGAAACTTATCATTGTATTATTCTATATAAAATGCATTTGCAGAAATGTTTCATTAGAAACTGTTATTATAAAAATAAGTATAAAACAAAATACATATTTTACATATGTTACTTATACATACACATTATTTGCATGTTTAAAAATTCCAAAATTCCAGCATGTTTTGTCCATGATTGTCAACATATTTGAGAAGTAGGGAAAATAATAAAAGCACAAATATACTACAAATCATTTATATTTTTGCTTTTAAAAGGTGGTTCTATATGAATATAATCTTTAAATACTGGGGCAAAACATGGGTCAAAAGATTTATTGTTTAACCTGCTAATATTTTTTCTCACATTGGGGAACTGACTTTTTAAAAACCTGATAAAGATGCTTTATAGGTACCTTAAAACAACCATTAAATAATGCTTTAAAATAAAACCTTTTCTTTTCTTTTTCAGGATAAACTCAAAGCTGGCAATGCCCTAGCATTTTTGGGTCTTGAGAGAAAACAATTTGAATGAATGAATTTACTACAAAGGCAAACTCTCAAGATTTTTATTTTTGTTTTTAAATATATATCACATATGCATCACTAAAATCCTATTTTTGAGCTATTTTATCCAGAAATAGAATATATCCAAATATCTAAATTATTCATAACAAAAATGACTCATGTGTTTTTATTCTGAAAAGTAGTACATTATTTCGTGTACAAATCAAAAATTATTTTCCCAACACTTTTAAAATTAATGGCAGAAATATAAAGCAAAATGTGTGGGGAGGGTGTAGCTTACAGGTAAAGTGCATGCTTAGCATACATGAAGTCCTGGATTCAATCCCCAGTACCTCCATTAAAATGAATAAATAAATGAACGTAATTACCTCTCCCCCCAAAAATAATTTTTTTAAGAAAAAAATTTAAAAACAGCAGAAATGTCATTAATGATTTATATGGAGGAAAAAAACAGATTCATCCTAGAGGGTTCAGATGGGTTCTCCACTTTGAGTAAGTATACTGGAATAGGGTCCAAATAACCCATTTTATTCACTTTCAACACCCTCCATCAAACCAGAAGAGGGCTAGGAATGCTTTAGATTCCAAAACAATAAATGATATACATAAAGCCCAATTAAGGAGGCAAGATACATGTTCATGTAATAATCACTAAGCAATAAAACCTGCTATCACACAGGTTTCAGTAAGAGAAATTCACTTGGATTCAAACTTTGGGCAAATCTTCACAGAAGCTGGAACTTGGGCTGAGTCTATAAGGATGGATAAGGCATGTTTAGGTTTAGACGATGGGAAATAGGAAGACAAAACTATGGGAATATACATTTCAGACTGAATGAGAACTTACCTATTCTGGAGAAAAGTGTCCGTATGTAATTTACTTATACCAGAAGCTCTTTTAATTTAAAACACTGAGCAGAATGTATAAAGCAAGCTATGGAGACTGAGCAAGGCAATGCCAGGGTTGCCTTGTTCTACTTACTTCATTTCCAGTCGTCTCGCTTGGGCTGCTGAAAATGAACTTGGTCCTGGGAGGGGTGGTGAACATCTGTGGTTCATGTACCTCTGGCTGAATTCTAAAATCAAGTATAATTTTTCAAAATTACTCTCTTGGTTTGGATTCACTCATCCTTCTTCTCATTTCCATTAGTCCAGAAAATCAAGAGTTGAGTATTGGCATGTAATTTGTGCTGATTTAATTTTTGCTAAACTACACCCATCCCGTTATTTTCTCTTTACTTAGTCTGTCTTGCTCTTCCTGTTGCTTCCTAGGACTTTAATCACCCACCACTCTGCTTGTTACTCCAATCTGCCTAAATAAAAAAACAAAGTTGAACAAAACAGCAATATGAAGCATATGTTATTATTTTTTCCTTTCCCATTCTTAGGGAGAAATGTCTGCTCCTTTTCCTATATTTGAGCACTTTTAACAGTGTAGAATGACTGTTTTATTATGAAAAGAAACCTGATCACTTCATTCAATATCATAGATATATAGACTGATACATAAATAGATAATGGGCATATTCATATTCACAGAGTGTCTGCATGATGTGCCAGGACTGTAGGACTGTTCCAAACGCTGGGGATACAGAAATTAACAAAAAGGGTAAAATTCCTTCTCTGATGAACCCTACAATCTGGAGGGTGAAAAATATAAATAAAAAAGGAGGACAGAGAAAAGAGGAATGGAGACGGGCAGAGAAGGGGGTAGGGAAGGAGAAAGGGAGGGAGGGAGGAAAGGAGGGAGGAAAGAAGGAGGGAGGAAAATTTTCTTATGATAAACTCTATGCAGAAATTAAAACAAGGAAATGTATAGTGTGACTAGGGCAGGATGGAGGATAAAACATTAAGTGGTGGGGCCAGAGAACACAGCTTTAAAGTGGACTTTGAACTAAGACTTGAATAACAGAAGGAAGCAGCCATGGAGAAGAGCCTTCCAGGCCAGGCTGGAGCAGTCAAGGCTCTGAGGAAAGAGCTGTGGCAGAGCTTGTTAGCATGGGGGAGGGGGTGGGAATGAAGCTGAACAGTTGGCCAGATAAGTAGGTTATGGTCAAGAGTTCAGACTTTTATATTAAGTTTTATAGGAAGTCATTGGAGTTTTTTTTAAAAAAATAGGTCTATGACATGCTCTAACTTATACTAGAAACACACACACATTAGCAGCTGTGTAAAGAATTATTTAAGGGGATCAAGATGGTATTAGAGACACAAGGAAGGAAATGATGGGGACTTGGGCAAGAGTAGTAGAATGGGGATGGTGGGAAGTGGTTCTAGGGAGAAGCAACAGCACTAGATAAAAGTGAGGAACAGGGAAGACAGGAAGGAAAGAAATCATGCTTGATTCGTGTGCACGCACCACAGTTTGTTCTATCAAGCTCCTACTTTCTGACGTTGTATGTAATTTCCAATATTTTGCAATTACAAAAAATGCTGCAATGAAATTAGGTTCATTTCCCATATTAGACATAAGGATAACTCCAACATCAATTGGATCAAAGATTTAACTCTAAGATAAAGTAAAACCATGTAGACTAGAAAAGAAAATTACTCTTTAAACCAAGTACAGAGGACTGCTTTCTAATGATGTCTTTTCTGTGCAACAACTCCAGGGACATTTAGCCTCCAAGATACAGGTAAAGGTATTAAACTAATCCAGACTTTAAACACAGATGCCTTGACTCTTATTTTTTTTCACTTGAGCATGTAGGTAGATTTATTTTACCACAATGGGGGAAAATAGGTTTGGGAAAGGAAGAGAATCAAGAGCTCTGTTGTTGAACTTGTTATATTTCAGATGCCTCTAAGATTTTTAACTAGGAATGTCTAGTAGGCAGTTAGATATACTATTCTAGAGAGTTCAGGAGGGAAGTTGGGGAGAGGCCGTCAGCGTATAGAAGGTGTTTGAAGATATGAGACTGGATGAAATCACTGAGGAAAAAAACGGAGTAGAAAACCAAAAGACTAATTCCTGGGATTAATCAGCATTTGGAGGTCATATGGAGGCAGCCAGCACAGGAAACTGAGTAATGCCCCATGAGGTAGGTAGAAAACCAGAAAAATGTGGTTATTCAGGAGTCAGGGGGAGACAATGTTTCAAGAAGTCCTAACAGCTTTAGGCCTCCCCCCAGAAAAATCAAAGCTACAATACTATGGTATTTTACAGAACCATATGCCCCAATTATAATTCAATCCCTTTATCCCAAATTTAGTTCCACCTCTTATAGCCCCAACTCTGATTAATGGAATCACTGTCACATAAATCCTCTCCTTTCCCCATGTCATTAAACTCAACAGATTCTACCACTTTCGTATCTTTCACTTTTTATCTGTTCTTTCTTTCCTAATGCTTCCAACTAAAGTCAAGTCCTCAACTCTCACCAAGACAACTGAAGTAATCTCTTGTTGTTTAACTATTTTATATATGGTAGTATGTATCTGTTAATCCCATACTCCTTATTTATCCCTCCCCCAATTTTTCCCCTTTGGTAACCATAAGTTTTTTTTCTATGTCTGTGAATCTGTTTTGAAGAATGCTTGGTTGGCAGTTTTTCCTTTTAGCACTTTGATGCCTTCTTCTTTTCAATAACTGACTAAGTATGTTACTGCATAGATGTACCAAATCATCCCATCCCCAATTCATGGACAGTCATGCCTTCAGTCTTTCACAACTATAAACTACTACTGAGAATACTCTTCTAACATATGATGTTGAGCACCTTTTCACATGCTTATTTACCATCTGCACATCTTTGTGAAGTGTCTGTTCAGATCTGGTGCCCATTTTTATATTGCATTCTTTGTTTTCTTATTATTGAGTTTTAACAGTTCTTTGCATATTTGGAAGACAAGTCCTTTATCAGATATATGTTTTGCAAAGACGTCTTCTTGTATTTTCACTCTCTTAACAGTGTCTTTCATAGGGGAGACATCTTTCACTTTAATAAAGTCCAACTTAATTTTTTCTTTCATGATCTTTTGGTGTTGTATCTAAAAACTCACTGCCAAACACAGAGTCACCTATATTTTTTTCCTATGTTATCTTCTAGAAGTTTTAAAGTCTTATATTTTAGATTTAGGCATATGACCCACTTAGAGTTAATCTTTGTGACAAGTGTGAGGTCTGTGTCTCATTTCTTTTTTTCCCATATGAATGCCCGATTGTTCTAGCAGTATTAGTTGAAAAAGGACTATCCTTTCTCAACTGTATTGCCTTTGCTCCTTTCCCAAAGATCAGTTGACTAGATTTCTGTGGATCTGTTTCTGGGCTGTCTATTCTGTTTCACTGAGTTACGTATCTATTCTTTTGCCAATATATGCTGTCTTTTTTTACTGTAGCTTTGAGGTCGGGTAGCATCAGTCCAACTTCTTTGGTACTGGGCTGGCTATTTTGGGTCTTTTGCCTTTCCATAAAAACTTTAGAATTGATTTGTACATATCAACAAAACAGTCTGCTAAATTTTTCATTGAGATTGCACTGAATCTATAGATAAAGTTGCAAAGAATTGATATCTAATAAGTTTTCCAATCCATAAACCCAGAATACTCTTCCACATACACCAACTTTGATTTCCTTAATCAGCGTTTTGTAGTTTTATGTATCTGTATTTATAGTTATAGACACCTCCTGTACATATTTTAGTTTCATACCTAAGTATTACTCTTGGTACATGGTATTATGTTTTTAATTTCAAATTTCAATTATGCATTGCTGATACGCAGGAAAGCAACTGACTCTTACATTATAATCTTGCTATAATCACTTATTCATTCCAGTTTTTTCAATACTCTGAGATTTCCTTCATGAACAATTATGACATCCGTGAATCAAGTCAGTTTTATTTCTTCCTTTCCAATCTGTTTACCTTTCATTTCCTTTTCTTATTATATTAGCTAGGACTTCCAGTACAATGTTGAAAGGAGTGGTGAGAGGGGATATTCTCTCCTGAAGAAGCTTCCAGTTTCTCACCATTATGATTTTACAAATGTTCTTTATCAAGTTGAGGAAGTTCCCCCCTTTCCTAGCTTGTTTAGAGTTTTTATCATGAATAAGTGTTGGAGGTAGACACTTTTTTTTTTAAATGTTGCTTTAAGTCAATCTATCCTGGAACTTCTAAGCAGCCTAACATTCGAAGCAAGCAAGGCAGGTAAGAAATGAATTTTTTTAGACGATGGATCATGATAGCTGCTTACTGAAACCAAATCAAGAGCTCAAAACTGTAGCTTAATAGATGCAGGAAGAGCCGAAGTGTATTAGTACACTGAGCATAGGCGCCCCCAAGTGATGACGAAAGCCTGGAGATTTAATCAGGAATTCAGTGAAAAGTAGTATCAGTTGCCTTTTAGGAGTGTATCTGCCTGTACTCTGTGACCTATGGCAAATAGCTAAAATTTAAAACTTAGGAAATTTATGCACACACAATAAGCGTCGGCTCAGAGACCAGCGGACTCCGAGTGGAGCTCTGCGGGAACTTCAGCAGAAAGGGCTGATGAACAGATATGTGCAGTGCTACTGTATTAAATACTAAAAATAAAATTTTTATTCGGTTCCTTTTATACTTACTGCTTCTCTCTAATCCTCTCTTAAATCACAGTGTGGCTTACAAAAACACTAACCATAGAGACTCGAAACCTAGTTTATAAATTCGGCTCCTCTGGTTTGCTCAGCGGACAACCTTTGGCAAGCGAGTTTTAAAAAATAAACCCACGGCCTGAGTAGCTGTGGGATTCAACCAAGATGATGGAGGAGGGGGGAAGCACTGAAGTACGGCACAAATGTGGAGAGTCATTTCTTCCGCGTTTCCCCAGAAAGGTCCTTCCCAGAGCCGCCGGTTGGGCGGAAACTTTCCGTCCGGGATACGAGACTGCGCAGGCCGACGTTAGAGGAAAATGGAAGTGGTGACACGCGACTGCGACAGAGAAAGGTTCTTCTCTTTTTTAAAGCGCCGCCAGACACCCAGCCCAAACAGCCGCCGGGATTTCAGAGTCCACGCCCAGGCCCACGGCGCAGCCGCCCGCATCCCTCCCGCACAGCCCGACCCAAGACCAACCTCTAGCCTCCTCTGCTGCCCGCCCCTTCGTCCAGCCAACCCTAAGCCCGGCATGCACCGCGCCGACCTTTTCCTTCCAGCCGACCCCCACCTTCGGGCGCCTCCAAATGACAAGCTGCGCGGAGCATTGTGGTCCCGTGCGCGAGAGCGAGGCCAGGGGCAGGAAAAAGAAAGCAAAACGCTAGGGTGAGCCGGTAGGGCGG